TCAAGTTTGCTCAGTAACATATCAAATAATGTACACCGTTCGATGCATTAGTATCTCTAGATTCACAAAAGAATATATTTTGTCGGGTGGTTTTGCCTTATTGAAGAGATGTAGCAATTTTATTAAAGCTGTCGCAACTAGCGCAGTGGCACTCATTGATATACAATGCATTGATCACACGCTATAGATCAATCTACACGTTACTATATGAAAATCGAGGCTGCGATATTCAGGACCACCGTCTTCTCAAGTTGGCCCAGGAACGTATGAATTTCTTTAATTCATTTGATCGAGCTGAACGTCTACATTCAGAAAAATATAATTTTGTGTTGCAATTCCTCTTATTTGAGGAAGTATAGGGATTTTCTTAATGTTACGCAATATTCCATTTTCAAACCTACCGTACTCTCAGCTTTGCACAGTAACATGTGAATATATGCACACCATTCGATCCAACAGAATCTCTAGATTCGCAAAAGCATATATTTTGTCGGGTAGTCTGGCCTTAATGAAGAGATGTAGCAATTTTATTAAAGCTATCTCAAGTAGCGCAGTGGCAGTCATTGATATAAAATGCATTGATCGCTCGATACAGGTCAATCTATACGTTACCATAAGAATATCGAAGTTGCGATGTTCAGGACCACCGTTTTCTCAAGTTTGCCCAGTAACATATAAACTTCTTCACATCGTTCGATCCAGGAGAATCTCTAGATTCAGAAAAGCATATATTTTGTCGGGTGGTTTTGACTTACTGAAGAGATGTAGCAATTTTATTAAAGCTCTCTCAACTAGCGCAGTGACACCCATTGATGTACAATATATTGATCACACGCTATAGATTAATCTATACGTTACCATAGGAATATCGATGTTGCGATGTTCAGGACCACCGTTTTCTCAAGTTTGTCCGGCAACATAGTGATACTTTGACATCCTTCCATCGAGCAGAGTGTCAGTTTCGTAAAAATGAACAACTTGCCGCCAAGTTCTGCCTCTGCGAGGGGATATTGCTATTTTCCTGGTGCTATAGGGGTTAGCTCATTGAAACCTACCGTACTCTCAGCTTTGACCAGTAACATATCAATTTCTTCACACCAATCGATCGACCAGAATCTCTGCATTCAGAAAAAGTGTGTTCTTTTAGGAGATTTTGCTTAGTTGAGGAGGTACAGCTATTTTATTAAAGCTCTCTCAACTAGCGCTGAGGTGCTCATTGTTATGCATTTGATCACTATAGATCAATAGATATTATACATTACTTTAGAAATATAGGTTTGATACATTCAGGCCTACCGTCTTCTCAAGTTTGCCTAGTAATATAGTTATGTTTGTACATCGCTCGATCGAGCAGAATCTCAGCTTTCTAAAAATAATAGACGGAGATAGGTATCGCGTGCTGGGCAGAGGTGATTTTCGCTTATCAATCGTTGCTACCATGAACATGAAAAAACATTGAGAGTTTCTGAAGAACAATAAGAACTATACCATGAACCGTCGTATTTAGCACACAAAATTAGTAATGAACCACGAAAAGGTAGAGATGGAAAACTTTTTAGCATTGTGATATGAGTGGTCGTGAAGCGAATTTACTGTATGGCATTATTATGGTTCATTTGTATATTATTATGACAAAAGCAGAGAGAAATTACGAAATTGCACAAGTGCTCATTGTCAGTGAGCTTTTCTTATTTCATTTATTCGCACTCACAGTTACCGTGAATCCAATGGTAGAACATGACGATCAATTTGAAAAAGATACCAGTTTATATTATGTTGAGCGATAAATCGTGCGAAACAGGTCAGAAGTGATTTATTAACAAAAACAGTCCGTAGAGAAAATTGCAATATATAATTTGTACGTATTTTAATCAAAAATCATCACACATACAAAGTTTATGTTGTTCGTATGAGACAATAATTCACTCTTCACCAAATTCACACTTTACCAAACATCATTCATGCTAATGTGTGATATCACGACATAATTACTGAAAGATTTGTTTAATCATTTAAGTCTCAGATTAAATAAGATCGAAGTGAATGCTGCGTTCAGAAGAGTTTTGGTTTCTTGTCGCTATTCTCTAGTAGGTTTCATTTTGGAGAATGTCGACTGCTTTATCAGCGAGCATCAGAAGTGATGCATAAACACTTCGAACACTTGACGTTGGTGGTAGAACGGATGCATCAACTACTCGTAAACGTTTCACTTCATGAACTCTGCAATTGACAAATCGTTTGCTTCGTCACTTCTATATGTTCCTTGCTTGTTGTGAGGCCCCAATTTTCCTTGAATATAGCCCTCTCTCCTCTCAATGTAAGCTTTTTTTCGACGTAAATTTTATACACATGTGCCAAGAAATTAAATTTCCCGAATGTAAATTCTTTCCTCATTTACAATCAGAATAAGACGTTCTTCTCATAGCATTGAAGATTATCATCTCTCGCCAGCTTCCTCAGTGAATTTCCAGACAACAACACAAACGAACGAACCTTAAATCTTTATCAACAACCGAATTCGCCAACAGATTTCCCATTGCACAAGACGATGTAGGGTAGGATTTGAACGCTTCATCGCTAAACTCTTCAAAATTCGTCGCTAAACATGAGAACAAATCTTCGGAAGATCTGCCGTCACATTTCCACTTTTGTGCCTTCGATGGCGTCAGCCCGATCGGCGAAAACGTTTGCGTTGACGTCAAAAGATGATGGGCCCGTTTGACAGCTTAAGAAAGTAAACTTCTGTAGAAGTGACGATATCATTATCGGTTCACGTAAAGCCAGCCAAATGATAAAAACCTTTCGTGAGTAGACCAGAAAATACGCCTTTGGGCTGAACTTCAATGGTGGGTGCAGCTAACGCATCTATAGAATTCAAACGCACTGAGCCAATTCTGTACGCATTCATTAAGGACACTTCAACTGACAGAAACCACTTCGACTGAAAACAAGTAAACATATTAACGAATAATCTATTGTAATTTGCTAATTAAAATGATTTGCTTATTACTGAATTAAAAGATGATGTAATATTACCTAAGGCGATAATAAATAAAAATGAAATATATAAATATGCACAGAAACCTGATTACAATATGGTTCGATTAGCATGAAAGCATCAGTATTTTTACTCTGAGGTGATACTGTGAAAGAAGTCGTGAAGGCGGGCAGTGTTATTCTCGATGACGAATTAAAGTGATCACCTTCAGTTGCATTGATTTCAAACATGAATGAGATTAGAATTAACAGCAATCATAATTATTGTTATAATCATAGGAATGATAATGGTGATAATGATAAGTTAAAAAACCAAAAACTGAACAAAACTGACAGTGAGATACTTACAAAAATCAGTGATCGGTTGCGAAATTTGAAAATTGCTACAGAATTTCTGAATGAGCATTTCAATCGATGTATAATGATTGGATGAAGTGGGATCACAAATCAGATTTGTTTCGTACTGAATCGTCGTTGACAATGGAATCGCCAACTGTTCACCAACAGCTGGAAGAGACCTCACCGGCGTGATCTGAAAGGACATTGTCCGGGACAGATAAACAAGTATCATCGGAAAAAACGCAATAAGCAGCAGCAGAAAGATCTAAGCATGGTTTATAGAGATAGTTGAGGTTGTTTTGATGAGCGATTTGAGTGTGATTAGCACTGATTAAATTGGATTCGTAATCGAATGAAAAGAGTTGTCGCTCTGAATGATTAAATCAAAAACGAGATGAAGCGACAAACATTAAATAATCTCAGCTGCTCTTCGGCTCCAATTCCAGACAACAATAACAAATGTGGTGTTTCAACTGGGCCACACGATAAGATCACCTCACGATTTATCAATACTCGTTGCGAACGCCCTTCATAAATATAATTCACACCTGTCGCCGCACCATCCATACCGAACAATATCTTAAGTGGAATATTAATTGTGTCTCACCTCTCACCTTCTGCTACTAAGAAGGGTATGACTGTACATATACTTGCATAAACTATTATCATGCACAAAGAAAGCACTGCACCTTGGTAGCTTTAGCACCGGTGAGAATGTGTAAATTGAATCGTGATTGAACCTCAGTTGTTAAATAATCCAGAACCGATGCCCCTTCATCATTACTTTCATCAGAATATTTCATCCAATAGGCTGCTTTAGAAAACGCTGCAAATTTTTGTAATAATAATGTACTTTTGGTTCAATTTCGGTTGTGTTCGGTTGGCCTGCTCGCCTAGCNAGCGGGGTGGCGTAAATCAACGCCATAACAGTGCGAAGGGAAGCGCAAGCGTTGTGGCTAGCAACGTTACAAACGTTTAGTAGCCTAGCCAATCCAGGTAATATATTTTTAATGTTGGTGATAAGAATACTACGAATATTCATTTCATATTGTAATTATCAGCCTGACGACAATAACAGCACTGAAAACAAACACTAGTGGAAAAGACGGTCACGTTCTGTACCAAGTGTTGCTAAATAACGCAATGAATAACTGGAAGTGGTAACAAACTCACAAACTGCATCATTGTTATTCTTTTTGAACAATACATCGATATCGCTCAGTGTCGAATGTCGAGGCCTTACAACTGAACGTACTGAAACAAATAAGCTTCAGACCGCTACTCTGACGATAACGGAGTCAGTAGATTGGGACGACCTATTCATGACTTTTCATAAGGAGCATTTCCTCATAACCGCTAACTTCATATCTCCAGAAAGTATCGTAAAAACACGTCAAACAACTCTCTTTCAAACACTTCCTCATTCAGTTTCAAATGAAACGTTTTAACTCGAACTAAATTTGAACCCAGTTTATAAATGGAAACTGCGTGAGACTATAAATCAGTTGAGCTATTATGAACCCATAAAGTTCAATTATTATCACCCGCATTCCCCTGCCCAGAAACGGTTTGTTTCGAATATCTTTCGAAATAGGATTCGACATTGCTCCAAGACCAAACGCCCGTTAATGAGCGATCTTCAACCCATCGATCCCATTCGTAAGCATTCGGTTTGTTGTAGAGCAACGGTTGTTCACTCAAACCATTGTTTCCATTACCTCCCAGCGCTCGCCGAGACTGCCACTGTTCAGAGTCGTTCGCTTCAGCAGTGAAACTTTCATCCTAAAATTTCCACAATACTGTCGAAGAGGACGACGGTGGAGTTATTGAAATGCGAGCTGTCAATTAATCTCACTACAAAAGTAGAGTAAGCGCTCAATTCAATAAGAGAACGATGATACGAAGCGATCACTTGGTTATGATGATCAGTTGTTGTTGACGTCAACGAAACATTGTAGGTGAATGCAAAATGATTCAAATTCCACAATTTCTTGAAGTATTTCGAAAAGTAATAATTGTAATGATAGAACGGTAATTGATCGCCCTCTTCCAATAACAATACAAAATTATTTGCATCTTCAGACAGTCGACATGCTAATAAAACACCCGTTGTACCACCGCCGACTGAAATTTTTCGATTGAATTTCATTTTCGTTCACCGACTCCACTTATTTGACTGTTATCAATTTCATTACCGTTTCTGACAACACTACTATTATCATCGTTATTATTAATACTTTTATTATTATTATTACTATTGTTACTACTAGAACTATTGTCATCATCACGAACAATAGTGTATAAAAATTAATTCTCCATTAAAAATGAAAATTGTGTAATACATAACAATATGTTATTCATCACCACTGCTGTTCACTACTAGCATTGTCACTACTCGTGAATGTGCGATAATGTTGTCGTTATTTATCCGACTATTATTATTATTGCAAAAAGTTGAGAGCACTTACTTATAATATATTCATACTGTGGCTGTAGATCTTTTAACGTTTTAACTTGAACGATTCGTTTATTAAAATAATCATTCGAAATTAAATAATATATTAAAAGTGAACAAATTCCAATCACGCTCGACACCCTCAATAAACCCATCTCGAAAAAAAGCACAACTCACAAAGAGTCAAATAAAACAATACGATCTGAAAATTCAATCTATAAAGGTGAACGAACATTCAGTCGATGATGAACGTATGAACAGTCCCGTCAATGATCTAGACTGTAATCGTCCGATTCGGACTTGCACAAATCAGCGAAAAATCACTGATTAGAATTTACAAACAACGCTTCCGAGAGCACTTTGAATGCACGAAACCATTTCGTTCATTATTCCATTCGATCACAACAACAATATTAATCGAACGCAGCATATCATCAATCAAATAAACCTTTCTAAGTAGACTCAACGAGATTGCGAAGGAGTTCGCTTATTGGCCGCATGTTTCACAGTATACGTTACTTACTTTTCTGAGCGTTTATCATCAACCAATGAATGCCATACGACATCATAAAGAGCAAATATTCAACAAGAACACTACTATTCGCAAATGACAACTCAAAATAATTTCTCCACTCGAAAACTGAGCGAATGAGAAGATTTCAAGGAAAAACTTTATCAACTCTGATACGAGAAAAAATAACAAACAAACAAACAACACGAATGAAATAAATCTGAACGATAACGAATTATGAGCAAACGAAACAATAAAATATGTAAGAATAGAACACATGTAATAACGATTATTTGCAAAATTTGATAAAAGAAAAAATAATTTCAATAACACGAGAAACTTTCTCACAAACCTAACTAACTAAGTATTCCGTCGTTTCCCTATTCCAGAGGCTCTCAACCAGGAGTGCTCGCAGTATCCCTTCGGGGCGCCAGGTAGTATTCCAGGGAATGCGAAGTAACATTTCAGTTTTTATACGTTTGAGTAGGCAAAGGCGGATTTCCACGTATACATACGTGTAAAAAGTGGGCTGTAGGGTGGACTTTAATGTACTTTTTGAAAACGTTAGAACGTACTTGAATGATGTGCACTTATCTGCACTACTACAGACACTCGCTGCAGTTATTATTGATATAAAGTGGGTGATGTTATGAGGACTGCGAAGACATTTTGAAATATTTCAACGGGTGTGGTAGAAAGAAAGGTTGAGAACCACTGCTCCGTCCGACAGAATACCGCATAAAACATCAATAATTACCGAAAATGTCGCACTCGGAAGGATAAATGAATGCAGTACTGGAGAAACGTTTCAGTAATGAATAAAAGTGATGAATTTACAAAACACACGAGTAGAACCATGCGTGAGCATAACACAGAAAGGAGAACAACTATTATTCAAAGAAAAAAACACTCCAAACATTGATTTGATCAAATAAAAAAATCGTGGATATTGAAGTGAACGTTTCTATTGGAAATGATTGAAATTGATATATTCAGATTCTTTTTTCCCTATGAATCGACCATACGTTTAAGTCAA